AAAGTAGCTAAGTGTTCACATACTTTATGTAATTTTAAATTTTTTTGTAGATTTATGGACAGGGAATGGGGGGAAGTAAAAGAAATTTGTGTAAATAAACTTAAGCAAAAATATCTTTATTATTTTTTCATAATTTTGTGATGCTTATCTGAGGCATTTATATCAGAGATTGGCTTGCCAACTGCAAAGGAATCCCCAAGTGGATGAAACCTATTTGAATACAGTTTTGAAACATTATAATAATTGGTAGAGTAATTATTTTACACTGGAAGTACACTTTAATATTTCATATACTATCGTTGTTTAATCCATGCCATTTTGTGCTTTACAAAATGGGATTAGTACACTTGTATTGTAGTCAGCAGCTGGAATTAACTGGAAGTACTAATTAAGCCCTAGAAAATCTAAATACATGAAACCTGATATGAAAAAAAAATATATATAAAAATATATATAAATCTACCATCTGAAAATTATAGACTTGTGGACTTATTTTGCATGCCTGTAATTGACCACATCAGACAGGAGGCATGGAGAATTAAGCTTCTGATAAATGATTCGCTTATGCTATACTGACTATTTTGATTATTTCTGACACCAGAACCTGCCTCTTGGCCTCTTACTTTCCCTTTTCTCTCTTTCAGTGTAAAGAATAGAATGCAAATAGCCTTACCGTGAAGGATTTAAAGGCAATGTTGTGAGATGTTCTACTCATCTCCCATCATTGCTTAAGGGTCTTGGAAAAGTGTAGCACCATACTATAGGAAAGTCCTCGAGACTGGAACAACAGTGTGATTTCATTAACCTCACTGAAGGTTCACTATTTGTAATTTATGCACTGGTAAAGGCCGATTAGAATCTGGTTCCCGTGATTGCTCAGCATCACTCTAGATCATTTTGTAATAACAATGATAATACAAAAAGAAATCCATATAAGTACAGAAGTAGCTGTATAATTTAATAAAAATTTAAATTCCTATAGCAATATCCAGGTACACTTAAATTAAAACACAGTGTTAACAACAGCAGTATCTTTCCTACTCACAGATCCACATTTAATAAGTAGGTCTTTCCACTCTTGTGATATTCCACGGCACAAAATCATCATCTGTACCATGGTGCCACGGAAATGGCTACTTTAGCTTTGAGTGGTTATTTATTTGGTGCTAAAAACTCTTATGACACACAACCCCCATCATGACATAGCGACTCAGAAGTTCACAGAATTTTTCAGCACTTTATGATAGAACACTGCATCACAGTAACTGCTGGTGTAGGGTCAGATCCACCTGGAGCTCATTGCCCAGCCTGTGTAAATAAACATTTAGCAACATCACGGGGTTTCAGCAATGACACAAATGAGTGCACAGGTGAGGAACGGGAGATTCTCAGCATCAGCTGTGTCTGTGATAAATGTTGTGGTTCTCATCTGTTGAGTTTTATGAATTAAAAAGCCTCAAACAATTCTGCTTTAAAGATACAAATTAGTAAAGATACTAATTTGTATCTCTTTTTTTAACTACAAATGCATGGAAATTTTCCAAATTTCATTAAAAATAGTTTGCCTTTAAAAAAATCCATGTGAAACCTTTTTCTTCTGGCAGGCACGCATGGTCACGCTAGGGAAGAGAGGACTTTGGGTTTGCAGTCACTTCTCATTCAGTTTTAAAATGAAACCCGGCTAACATTACCGAGCTTTCTGCTCGCTCTGGCTCGACACGGTTTCGTGGCTTGCAGGGCCAGGCGAGCGCCTTGGTGTCCCCTCGCCCTGTGCCGAGGTATGGCCAAGGAGCCCTTTGTTGTGTCCCTGGATCCGCGCATCCTGCCTGCAGTTTCCCACACGTCCAGTAGATGCCCCCAGAGACCATTAAACCTTTGAACGGCTCCGCACCAAGCAAAGGAAAACGCAGTCTTTTCTCATTTCGCTCCTGGAAGTAACATAATTGTTCAAAGGAAGCCTGAAGTCGGCGCGGACGAATGCAGAAAACCAAACTCGGTTATTTAATGATAAATCATAATTTATTAGGTAGTAAGGCTCAAAGTGTTTAGTGTAAGGTTGTTTATTAATGTAGCAGAAACAGCACTAATGTTAACAGTGAGATTTTATAAACTAAATCCTGGAAAAATAGCATATCCTGATTTGGAAGGGACCTTAGGTATCAGATTTTGATATTGACATTAGAAATCAGGTAATCTTTAGTTATCTAAAACATGAGTTCTTCTACTTAACCTTGGATTTTACACTATGCATGAAATCATAAAATGCAGGATGAAAAGGATTTTGAGGGTTGAGGATTTATAATTCATCGCAAGAAATCATGAAAAGTTTACTGTTGTTACCTACACCGTGCCTCTGCTCAAAAGAGCTATTTGTTGGGGGGGGAAAGGACACTGGAATTTTCATCTGGAAGCACTTTGATTACTTGTAACAATTTTAGAATTCATTGCAGTGTTGAGTTCTCTTAGGTGTTACAAATACCATTTATCCCCATAATTCCATTAATCTCTTGCCCTGTTTTATTGTTTGTGTGTGAGAAGTCCCTTGTAGCTTATATATTATGGAAACTTCAGGAAACAACAGTATTATTATTGTGTGTTTTGTATATTATAACTGAGATTACTTTTATTTTTGTGCCACCAGATTTGAAGTATTATACAGTAGATAGCTTCATTGTGTGCTAAAATCAGTCCTCTTTGCCTCAGAAAAAAATGTGCTCTGCACATTAGGATTACTTCAGCATTATTTCAATGTCATGATTAATTGGGATGGGATTTATTAAAACACTCTTGACACTGATTTTTAAAACTGTCATGTTTTTACTAAATTCTTTGTTTTCCTGTATTGGTTTGCTAATAATGCTTTTTTATGGGGAAAACATGCTTTGACTTCAAGTAAAATAGATCAGTCTACAGAAAATGTGTTGTATGGACACAGATTTTCTGGTTTTATGAATATTGGTTCTGTGCTCAGTGAGTATGCAGTGAATGATAAAAATTGCCTCAATGACATTTTGGGTAGTGACTGCTGAGATCTTATAGCACTACTTCCTTGTTTCCTTCCAGTACACCTAATGATCTAATACATGCACACATACAAACATATGTAGATCACACTGTATAAATAAATAGGCATGTATTGCAAATAAATAGGCCTGATATGCAGATTGTTATTCCACCAGAGTTTTATTACTGTAGAATTGAGTCCTAGGCCTTTGGAAGTTGATAGGTTTTTTTTACCTGTATTCTTCAGGGTTTTTTTTAGTTGGATAGGATTTTTAAACAGGAAAGAAAAAGAATGTAATCCATATACAGAATAGAGAATACATTTCACTGAATTAACATAATAGTGTTTTTAAGCTAGATGCTGTGAGTTTGGTATGTATAAAATATAGCAAATTCTGGCAAATTAAAATGTAAATGTTTAAACATATTTCTCATTTATTTTTCTAAGATACATATTACAAATGTTTTCTTGTGCAGAATGGTTACATCTTTTCCCATGTCGATGTGAATAATGTGTGATTTTCAATCCCAAAAAACATCTATATATTAAGCACAAATTCAGTACTGTCTAGTCTAAATCATATCAGGATTATTTAATATTTTTATACTCAGTTCTATAACTGAAATGTGAAAAATATGTGTGAAGGATTAATGTGCATCTGTGTAGTAAGAGATTTTATTTTAAGTATATCATATGTGAAATAATGCAGATTATTTGCTTCCTACATCTTACATTGCTGTCTATTTCATTGATATTAAGCTAAGAAGTTTTCCACATCATCCCATTTTATCATCATCGTTAAAGAATTGCAGTAGCTCTTTTTAGGCTCCAAGTATTAATCTCTTTGAGCTATTATTTAACATGGTGTCATCTGAATTTATAACATACATTGTACATCTCAGTTTTCAGAATTCCATATTTATTTTAAAGCTGAGATAATTTGAATTTAAATTGATTTCAATCTAAAAGGACAGTTTTGTTAGCAGTTTGGACACTTAATGGAATATACAAGAAGAAGGTAACACATCTGTGTCCTTGCCATTTTACTGGAGTAAAGGTTTGTTTTTCCCACACTGGATATCCTTCCCTGCAAGCCTTTGCATCTGTACCTGTGTGTTACAGTCCCCTTGGACTCATAGTTTTCTCCAGAATAGGTCACAATGATTGTTTTGTGCCATATAAAAGAAATATATTGATTATTTCCATAAAAAAATACCCCAAAAGGTGTTTTACCACTTGAGAATATTTGATTCCACAACTTTTTTATATGTACATCTTATCTGAGTTTATGAAGGCAATAACTTCAATAAAAATTCATCATGCGCCATTTGTTTGTAAAATTAGGGAGAAATGATCAAATATTTGCATCTGTAAACCAGCTGAAGTTATATGTTAAACTGAAGCAAAATAATATCTAATTATTATGTTTCTGCCTGGCATTTGTCTGACATTTTTAAACCAAGCCATCATGTCCTACAGCAAAACTATTTGACATCTATATATAACAACATACATATGTATAACATATATCTATAGCATATACAACATATATATTTACCAACATATATATAATAACATATACATTGTTTTTAACATGTAGAATATGCCTCAATTTTCCTTGTGCATTGTCTTAAAGCAAACTAAGGGTTCATTGTGTTTTCATGAACTAATGTAAACATGGGGGGGCGGGGGGCTTCCCATCAGTCAGCCTTTTTTACCAAATACCAGCTAAAGAATACCAGTGTATTTTTTTACCATGTTTTCAATGTATATAGAGGTATTTATTCATTATTGCCGTGTTTGCTTCCCTAGGGTATGGCATTTGCAATCATATTTTAGTAGATCTGTTTTTGAGCGGGGGAAATAATACCTGCTCCCTGCTGCTGAACTGCAGAGGTCTCTTCTTGAAAGCTGTTGCAGTGATCTGCACTTATTTGGTAAGGTGGAGAACAGAATACAGGTTTAAAGGCTTAAAATCTACCTTTCTTATTCCCAGTTACAGGAATTCATACAAGAAGAACATCTGCATAGACATGCTGCGACAGGGTTATCACAAGTCCTTCTCTGAGCTCCTCACTCTGATACAGAAGTGGAATGCCTTCAGGGAGGCTGCAGGGCCTGGGTCAGCCATATGGCATGAGAAGTCCCTGGAGGAGCAGCCTGATAAGCTGGATCAGCTTTACCACTTCCTGACCAGGGCTGAGGCAGCCCAGCGAGCAGGTAAATGGGGGGATTGTGGGTAGCAGAGCAGCGGGAGCCGCAGCCGCCAGTGCCTGGGGGGAGCTTCCAAATTGTTTCATGTATGAATTTGAAACATTACTGCATCTTAGCACATTTCAGCCTTAGTCAACTGAGCTGTATTTATAGAATAAGTGATTAGGAGCTGCAGATATCAGGAGAGGTTTTGTGAAGAAAAAAATAAGGAAAATGTGTAGAGTGTGTTTTGATATCATCAGAAATCAACCAGAAATGGTTGATGTATTTATAGCTTTTATAACATCTCAATTATTTTCTCATAGTTTCATTATTTATTGTTTTTCTTTCTCTATTGATTTGAGTAGCTGGTTKTGTATTAGAAAAATTTAATAGGTGAAATGCTGTTTCACAGAGTAATAGTTTTATAAATCTGTTTTTATTAAATACCCTGTCTGCTAACTGTGTTTGGATTTGTGACTGACTTTAAAAGGATTGTGAACATGTCAAATAAAATACAGCACACAGATGTAACATGCCACCTGTGAATTACTAGATATTAGTGAAGACATAACTCCAGATTAGTGTATTTTCTCTATTGCCTACTATTTACTAAGTGCTCATATTTATAATTTATCATMTTTTATACTTTTACTATAAATAGTAACATAGCTTACTCCATCTTTTTTCATTTGAAATAATTGTAAGGATGGAGGCAGATAAAGCTCTARCTGCAGTCCTGTTTCACAGCTGAGTTGATTTCACTGTAGTGGTCCTGTTTCAAGTGGCATTTTCATCATTACAAATAGGAAAATCTGCAGTAAAGCTTATGAGTTTGGAATCTAAGCCTTTTGACAGTAATTTAGAAACTGGCAACTTCATTTCAAAAGGAACGGCTAAAGAAACCCTTTGGGAACTAAAAAAAAAAAAATTAATTTAAATTTTTTATTTATGTTTGCCATGAAAGCCAAAAGTTTTGTTTCTTTACTGAAATCACTCAAATTCTTGACAGGAAGTCCAGCCAGCCATGGTTGRAAGGAATCTTCACATTTTTCTGGAGTATGACTAAAACCTGAACAAGTATCCCCATGGCTTTCAGAGTATGAGAGAGCAGTTGGGGCTTGGACTGCCCTGAGAGGAGCATTCTGCCAATATTTGATGGTCAAACAGCAGTGGACATGGCTTATCTCGATGGGCCTGCCTCCTGCAGCCACTCGAGGAGAACAGTTTGCCTGCCTTCAGTGCACGATATTTTTCAGTGTTACAAACTGATATGTGACAGCAGAGGTGACAAACAGGCTCCCAGAGAGGCAAGGTATTGCTGACTGTGCAGTTCTGCCTTTCACAGAACCCAGCATTTCTTGTGTGCTGGGCTCTGTAAGTCTTTCACCTCTCAYAGAGACAAGGTACCAACACCAGCTGCCTGATTGCACCTTGCCCCTAGGAGAGAATATCTCCCAACTTGGCCTTTTGAATAAAATGAAAGAAGAAAAAATAATGAGACCGTAAGCGTTGGCAAGCATCTTTATTGAACGGCTAGATCACAGTTAGTTTTGATTTTTTTCACTGGTTTCTACGCAAACCTTTGCACAAATGTCTTGTTTGTATACAATGAGGTTTGAGTTGCCAGGCACGTGAAGGGGTGTATGGAAATTTATGTTGCAGGGTCTGAGAGCCAGCGGTGCAGTGAAAATTCACACGAATTGTACAGCTCAYCAAACACTAATTCAGTACTTCTGCTAATCCGGTTACTCTCTGATTCTAATCAAATTGCTTGGGGCTCTGGCTTATGATCTCCTGACAACTCCAGTTGACACCATTTAAGAATCATTCAGCAGTTCACCTCAGCTGGAACTTACCATGACGTAGCAACCACAACGGCAGCTGACCTGTATTTGCTCTTCAGCTGCCACAGTTCAAGCTTAAAAGGGTGAAAGTAATATTTGGGTCAACAAATTGTGAGAATTTCATAGTGTGGTTGATGTTGCTAATATTAGGTTAGCTGAAATTTTGCCTATCTCAGGTAGCAATTGTACTGAAAAAGAGATAGCAGCTATAAATAATGATTATAAAAAATTCATGACTTGTAAGTTTTTTTTATTAATTGAAACTGTGAAATGTTGGGGTTTGAACTTGAAGWGGTATATGCAAAACAAAACTTCACTTACTGTGTCAGTAAATAATCTTCTTATTTAATTTTTCTCACCTGAAATTTTTGGATCATAGAGTATTGATGTCTTAATTGTGAATATAACTTAGAGTTTCTAATTTTAGAGTTTTATGGTACTTACCATAGTGTACAGAGCAAGCTGTGTACATGTTCAGTTTTCATATTTATTGGTGCAAAATGTTAATATTTTAATAGCTTCCATATTTTATGGTTCCAGAATACTACAATGCTGAATGTAAATTATTTGCTTGAACTGAATCAGAGCCATCCACCACAATGTGCAGGCTGATGTCAAAGAGCAATTACTTTCTTTACTGCTGGGTTTGAAAATAGTAACGTTTTGTTTACCAGCATTAACACTGTACAGGCTGATTACCTTTACATACACCAGTAAGGTTCTCTGTTTTCATTTTTAATGGAATATTTTGTTTGAACTTCAAATCATATGGGAGTTTTCTTTTTTTCTAATTGCCTATTACCAATATTTTACTCTGTGCAAAGAAAATAGCTTTTTCTCTGTCCAGCTTAAACTAATTTTTTTGCATTTCAGTATCTCCCAAATATTAAATAAATAGAGTGAGAGTTAATTCTTGCAGCTTCTCAGGAAAAAAAAAAAAGCTGATGGATTTATTTTGCCCCAAGTTCAGCATTCTAAAAGCACAGGCAGAAATATTGGCAATGCAAATGTTGGCAATGCAAAATTGGCTATTTTTATCTTGTGTTTTTTATTCAAATAAAGTAAATGTTTCTAACTTCAAAATTGAGGGGTTTTGAATTATGCCCTGATTTTCCTTTATCACAGACTAATCTCTGTTTTTTCTAGTTCAGGTTTCAGTAGCTTAAAAAAGGAAAGAAAAGAAGAGATAGCTTAGATATTTAAATATGTATAGTTGTAGGGCTTTTTATGGAAGAATGCAGGATAAATGCCAGAGTCATGGATCTGCATAGCTCAGGATTTGATGTATACAGAGATTTCTTGGCATGTATATAGAAATCTGGGGGTTCCCTCAAAAGGCAAGTTATATTTTGAATGTATCAGTACTTGCTAGACTGAGCTGGTTYGCATGTAGAAGTTGAAAGGAATGCAAAGCAAATTACAGCTCAAGAACAATTAAAGGAATTATTGAGAGATGTCTCAGCCATTAACTCTGCTTTGCCAGAGCAGGAATCCAAAATATGGATTCCTGGAATATGGAAAACTGGAAAATTCCAGTTCAGTGGCTGCAACATGTGTTGGGCACTCAACACTGTAGTGGCAGATCACTGTGCCAAAGCCAGAGAATGGAATCCTTGGGTATAAACGTCTTCGAAAGGGCAAGACACTGCTTATTAGCTGATCACTGGAGCAGTTGCTGGAAACTAGGAGTTWAAACTGGAAGCTATTGCCTTTCTGAGATTCCATCTGCTCCTGGATCCTGACCCCACTCAACCTTTRTGCTGTTCTGTGTGCTACATGCTGAATCTGTGCATGTGCTGCAGGCTGCTGACCCTTGTTCTAGACAGTAGCAGACACACACCAGAATTAAAAAGAAGTGACTTTGGCTTTTTTTCCTCACTCCAATGTAGAGTAGAGAAAACTTTTTTGTCAGTATGAGTTACCATTTGTTTTTGTTGTAAAAGGTGCCTTTTCATAAAGTATATGAAGAAAGCATTAGTATTTGCTGTGCTTGCACTGGAAAATCTTTGTCCAATGTACTTAAGGTTGAAAAGAGTTTAGCATTTTACAGTAGAAAGCTTTTCTGTAAGATTTCACACTTCTGCCTTAGGCTTGGGCTAGAAACATTGCAATAACCATATTGCCCATGCTATTATTAAAAATAATGGAGAGAGATTATGCATTAAAAAAAAAGTGTAACATATAAAACCCTCTTTTAATATTTGCTTGGATGAGGAATAGTTTTGTTTGCATTTGGGGGGCAAGGCAAAGGAACATGGTTATATTCTCCAATCAGGTTTGTAATTTTCTACTTAATATGTTATCACAGGAAAAAAATGCAGCAATTGCTAGAAACTACTGGAAGATTAATTATTTTTCTAAYTATCTTACAAAAAGTTGAAGTGATTCTGCCCAGGAAAGTAGCCAAGCCATCTCAAAATACAGCCAGTTGTAAAACTACCACTGGCTTGAACAGACACAGCACTTTTTAGAAAATTCTGTAGGATGTTTTTGTTGCAATGACCTGGAGTCCCACTTYAGCAATCCAGATTACCAATGAATTGCCTTATCTTATTGTTACTAGCTGGCTTTATCCTTTACCCAGTAAAATTATACCCTGATCTTTTCCTTACTATTTTTGTGCAGGCTATATATTCATCAAGCATTGTCCTTTTATGTACTTGGCAATGTGGGGAGTGGTGTGCTCTGTGTGCACTTTAGGAAACAGACTCTGCCTGAAACTTGGTGTCAACATGCTTACAACTCACATTTTCACTTYCTTCATTTGTGGACTTATGGCAAAATGTTCATTTTCCATTTATGAATAAACTGGAAAGAGGAATAATTGAGGGGTCCTCCACCTCTAAGTGAAGAGGCATCCTGTATCTGAACAAGCAAAAGGGACTGATTCTTTGCCCTGTAGGGATCCMGGTAGAAACAAACTGATTGCAGCATCATCTTGTACTGCAGTTTATGCTTCTTCTTGATCCAACAAACTCCATCCTGGATCTGTCTATGTGTGAGTTCTTCTAAGTCATTGAATTTGATGTCTCTGGCAAAAGAAAAATGAAACATCCAGCATTAATTGTGTCTCATTCTGACATAAAAAATTACTCCTAGTGACTTAATTGACCTAAGGCCACTCCTTTATGTGGCTTYAAGAGTGAAGGGTCAGTTATAAACCAGTCGTGTGCACTTGAAACAGCCAACTAAAGGGGAGGATGAGTGTTAACAGCTGTTGAAAATCTTCCATATGGCCTTTGTCTGGCAGGAACAAAAGACTGCCTGGTGGTTTTTTGAGAGGAAAATACTGAGTCATAGATGGATGTTGAAGTATTTATTTCCAATACCTGTAGTTAAACAACGAGTGCAAGTTCTTGTTAATGGAAAATGGGACAGCTGCCTCTTTTATTCTTCAAGGGAAATGCCAAACCAGTCTCTCTTCATGATGTTTTCATCTATTCTCTAAAGACCATTTCTGTCCTTCTTTTCCTTTCTTCCACTGCATCCTGTCACAAAGGAGATCATAGAGATGTGGCAGCAAGTTGTATTTGAGTCACACTGGGATAACTTGCTGTCCTTCTGTGTTTCGTTTTTCTCTTTTTAGCTCTGTTGGTGTTATCCTCCTCAAATTGCACCTCACTATCCTGTGCCTTGCACAACTTAGTAGCTGTCTAGCTGAGCACAGCAAACATGCAAACATGGGTTTGAGTGAACAGTTCCTGAGGAGAGCCCAGGAACAGAGCTATTRTTTAGTGGGCTGATCAGGGTCTATAAACACAACAAGAGGAGATGCTGCTTGGTGGTTGAGGTGCACCTAGAGAGATCCTGACACAGAGCAGGAAATACYCTATGTGTTTAATATATGGGGTTTAATGTTTAAGCTCAAGATGAAGGGATAGTTTTTTCTTGTTTCTGTTTAACAGAAAGATCTCAGCAGTGTTTGATATGAATACTTTCCTTTTGTACATAGACACTCAATTAGAAAGTAGTTGGGTTTTTTTATCAATAGATACATAAAGATGTCTACTTGGATTGTATTATCAGTTGTAGAGAACTTACTCTACAAAAGCAGGGAGTTCAAACCTTTAACATCTGAACTACTTCTTGGAGATTTTATAGAAGGGAGTATTTACTTATTCCAGTGTTCTTCTCCTGAGAACATAAAAGTTCATTTTCATTAAATCTGACATGCTAGCTTTGCCACTGTCAGAATAACATCAGTTAATTTCTTGATTGGTAACTCAGACTTTGAATCCAGAGGACAATATTACTATTAAAAGTCCACAGTTTGGGGGTTTATTTTATGACCAGCATATCTGGTCAGCCACTGTTCAAGACAAYAACAGAGAAATGGTTGTCTTTGTGCACTTCTCATTGCTATGCACCGGCAGGATCGTCATCAGAGGGTCACATTAAAGTTCATTCAATCAAAGCTGTGGCAGTAGCTGGAGTCTGCCTCAGGTCACTTCTATCCCTTGGGATTTGTAGGGCACTACCTGAAGTTATTTGCATAATTTTATGTCACGTAAATGCCTTGATATTTTGCAGCAACAACTTCAAAGGAGCAAATCTGTATCTAGTGTGCCTTTATCCAATGATGATCCAATTATCTTTTCTCTCTCTGGGTTATTGCAACCATTTGTATGTATCCTCTGGTATCTTCCGAGGTCATTTTCACTTAGCGGTAATCTGTATGTAATATGTACTGTTATCTTTTTGTTAGTGATATAATTAGGTCTTGTAGTTCTCTGCTCATGTGGTTGTTTGTTTGTGTGGTTATARTCATTGTGGGAACCTCTGCCTCTGCTCTGAGATAAGCTCTAAAAGCACTCCCTTGTGCTGCAAGAGGATGAGATCAATCTCAGCCAAAAAGTATCTGCTTTTCTTCACTGAGAGGAAAGAGATACTAGGCAATACCTATCCATATCTAATTTGGTTAGTTTGGATGAATCCCAACTGGGTCTTGACTTTTTTTTCTGTGTGTGCTGTATTGGTTTTGGCTAGGATAGAATTAATTTTYTTCTTAGTACCTGATACAGTGCTGTGTCTCAGATTTRGTATGAAAATCATGTTGATATGTGTGATAGACAATGATGTTGCATAGATGTATAAATATATCTATTATAAACATATATATATATATATTGCACATGCACACAGATAAGTTTATGTATATTAAGCCCAACCCAGTTTTGTTATTTCTATTCCAGAATCATTTGCAGAGACTTTTATGATGCTATTGTACCTAAATAGTCTTAATTTCTAATGTATAAATAACTTTGATATTATGTTCACCCTGGTATATTCTAAAAAAAGAGGTGCCTAAGAGGTACTTCTTTCAGTCTTGAGGGGAAAAAAAAGGCACAAAAACTCACAGCCATGAAGAATGTTYAGATTAGGAATACATGAAGTCTATATATTGACAATTTTTCCTCTCAAAACTGAATTTTGAAATTTAAGCTGATGTTTTGGTATAAGAGATTAGAGAAAAATGATAGGATGATAATCTAGTTGTAATTTCTGAGCTATTTCTAYTTTTGTGATTTTAAAGAGGTTGTGAAATACTCATTTCTTGGAAGGGATGTTRTCTCTTTTAAAATTCTAGATGTGAAAATGTATATAACACAGACTGGTTCAAGATCATAAATCTATATATTTTAATGGGAATTATTAAAAAAGATAGAAATCTGAGATGACAACTTCCTGGAAGGGAAAACTGAGACAATAAATARGAAATTAAAATATTAAATAAAATAATACAAGCAACAAAAAAATATTTGTTTACCATCAGACCAATCAACTTTTACATCTAAGACAAAACCAGTGTTCAAGAATGGGGAAAATATTTCAGCTTGATTTCAAAAAAATTTAAGCAGGAAGAATTCAGACAATGTCCTCCGAAATGACTAAGACAGAGAAAGAAGGATAGAAGTAGTAGATTAACATCTTGAAGACTGCATATATGATTAGGTGGTAGCATGGCTTTTTCAAAGGGCAGAATAAAGTTCTTACTGTGTTGTGCAACACACTGAAAAGCTTTATCGAGACATTCTGAAGTCAAATAACAATCATGACAACMGAGAGAATGAGAGATTTACATTTCTTCAATTAGATCATATGTAATTTGTAATTTTGGAAGAGAACAGGCAAGAGATGAGTCTGACAATACCCTCTTGTGTGGTTTAGTGATGCTTTCAAAGTACTTGTKTGAGTAATTGCTGCTCCTAGTTCAAGTGGCTTGCATAGATGGTACARTTTACAGTCACTAAATCCATCCCTTTTGGAAGTTGGATTTTCCCCAATTCTTCTTGTAGATAACAGAAGAGGAGAATTTAACAGCATTTTTTGATCAAAGTGTTTTGATATGGTTATCATAGTTTTAAARCACTTGGGAAAGGTCTGGACTTTCAGATCTTGCCTACACTGAAATAATTTATTTTTTCCCAGTTGGTTTCTGTGTGGTGTTCCATACCCAGAATTAAGAGGGTTTTTTCTTTTCTCCATTTTCTCTCTGTGTTGAGCAAAGCTTACAAAATGCAGAGCTCCTGAAAGCAAAGCAGTTCTGTTGACACATCCAGCTTAACCAGTTTCTTACCTACAGCAAGGCCTGTGCTTCTTTTTACTTCTTTTTCTTTTAATTTCTTCTTTACCCAACTACATGTAAATTCTATTTAAAACTGGCTATTTGGCTTATGATCCTTTTATAGCCACAAACACACTAAATAGCCCACCAAAACTGAAATGGAATTTTAGCTAATTATTCAATTTCACATCTGGCATGAGCAGAGTTTACAGAGAAAATTGATTTATTTTATCCATGAAATGTATAAGTTCATGCTGTGCTTTATTACCTCGTAGAGTTTTCAGCATCATATAAAGAATAGATCTTTCAAATTCCCTTTAGGAACAAGGAGTATAGGATTTGTCAGGAAAATTTTAGATTTCTATTCCAAATTAGTAAAGTTTTGGAACAATTCAAGGAGGATATTTTTAAAGGTGCTTTTTCAAGAGAAATAAGGTGCTTTTTCAAGAGAAATAACATTCTGTAGAAGCTGTCATTCTGTAATTTAAAATTGTGGATAATATATTTGTGGATAATTTTTTAATGCTACTTAGATTTGGGACTTGAAGGTTTTTATAAATTTTAGGGATAATGTATGTTCATTTAGCTGTCTGAGATTATAAAGATTGGAATCCAAACTTCAGTCCATAGAGAAAATCTGTGACTTTGCATTTCCCCTGTTTCCCACATTTGTTCTGAGAACAATACCTTGGGGAGGTTTGTTCTCCCTGGGGAAAACAATACTGTGGGGGAATTTTTAGGGGAATGTGTACAATTTCAATTTGTCCTTAATTTCTAAGAGTGCTACAATACTGAACATGGGACTGTACATGAAAACTCAAAGCTTTTCTTGTTAGTCATACTTGGAATATTTAAAATTATATGAATTAATGGATTGTGTTTGCAGACTGTTCTTTATCTCCATCAACACAGCTGCTACCTTAGAGGTCTAAGGTTTGGAAAGCTCTTGGGCCTTTTCAGGATCCAGTGGCTCAGACAAATGCTTCTCCAGTCTCCTTCAGATTTGTCTTTTGAGTACCCAGTGTTTTATCCAGTTTTGTGTATTTCATTGAACTGAATTTTGGGTTTGCGCACGGAAATGAGAACAAAAAAAAGTTTTTAATTGTGCCTAATTTGTGAGGTTATTATTTTCTTCTTACATTTYTCTGAGTGGATATGTAGCAGAGCTTGATGGCATTTGAATGGTGTAAATATAAATAGCTCTTAATTTTCATTATATGGTTATTGCTGTAACATGCAAAATTTCTGAATGCTGATGATAATCTAACATTTTTGTTGTGATTTTTGTTTTTAAAGGGCACTATGAAGAGGTCTATGATAGCCAGCTTAGGTTGGCCTGCTTTTTCAATGAACCTGAAGACAAATGGTTAAGTACCTACTTTTATGAGCAAAGCTTTAACACAGCTCAATTAGTAAAAATTGATGGTGGGAAGAGAAAGGCACAAGCATATGTAAACATGGGCCTCATCAATGAGGAACAAGGTAAGTCACTGTCATCATAGAGCTGCATTGGATGGCATTTGTAGTTACTGGACTGTTTTAAAAGAGCTGTGGRCATGTAATTCTGTTTAATCTGTCTTCTGGTATGCACTTTTTTGTGTTCTTTTGAAATTCTTGACCGCGAGTGACATCCTGTTTGTTTGTATGTGACTGCCACATTGGTGTTGGCTTCAGACACACATCTTCCCACGTGCTCCATTTCTCCATCTGCATCCTTGAACTGTGACWCTCTGAAATTAGAAAAGGCTTTTGTAGAAGTAACTAGAATCATAGAACAGCCCAGGCTCTAAGGGACCTCAAAAGATCATCTGATSCAACSTTTYATGGGAAAGGGAGCMTAAAAGAGGTTATTTTAGCACCCTGTCAATTGCATCTTAGAAACCTCCAGTGATGGGGACTCTACCACATCCCTGGGGAGCCTGTTTCAGTGAACAATTGTTCCCACTGTAAACAATATTGCATTCTTATATCAAGATGAACCTTGATTCTGTATTAAAAGCATATATTACCTTTCATTGTACTCCCCCTTCAGAGGAGTTTGTATATGTAGCACTCTGAGTATAAAAAAAGTGTTTTCCTCTGCATAAAATCCTTTCATGTTGTGGGTAAACAAACAATAATGAGTCTCAAGTAATTGAATAAAGGCTGTCTTCCCGTTCTAATTTGTAAGTGTACTGCATGCCTAACTGTTGCTTAAAATATGGGATTTGTGTAGCTGCTATGGTTTTGTTTCAAAGTTTGACTGTGGGTTGAAACAATTCCAACTCTGAACCCAACTTGTGGTGAGTTTCTTATATAAAGTGGCTTTTCTTAAAAAAAACAAAACAAAACAAAAAACCACAGAAATTGATTTTTTTTATGGAAATAATCTAATTCCATTAAATATGTGACAGAATTGGGTGTGTTTTGAAAGATAGTCTTATTTCCTGACAAAAACTTGGACATAAAAGATTAAGTCTGCAGCCTTTTTTTTTTTTTTTTTTTTTAATGGTAAGGGTGTTGTCCTGGTTTTTTTTCTCTTGTTCTCTTACAGCTGACTGACTTTTTCACATTTCCTCACATATTTCTAGACTACTGGTCATTCACACTGTTTTCCTGTGAACTGTTGCCATTCTTGCCTGCAACACCCAGAYCTGGATTCAGTTTTAAAATTTGAGCCCATATCAATAATCAGTAACATGGTATGATTACTTCTCTTACAYGTGGTATTTTCATTTGTAATTTCAAGTATGACAGCTGTGTTCTATGTTTCAGCATGTGCTACATACTCATAGTTCATGAACTTCATTAATCTCTAAGTAATTTTCTGAAGAAGTGTTAACTCCTGTCCTGTTCCTTGTTCTGAGGTTATCCAGTTAGATGTGCCTAAATGCAATTTGTTGCTTTCTGTTTGCACTTAGTAGCATCCTGTGTTTTGTTGGTAGTTTCTAGAAATTGTCAAGATTGTTTAGATTTCTGGAGTTGTCCTGCAACATGTTTTCTCTTCTTTCTAGTTTGATATAATTTGAACATTTWAAAATGTTTTTCTACCCTGTAATTCAAATCCTTAATGAAAACACTAAGTAATAAACTGGACATATGGTAGGCATCTGTGGAACCTCACTGAATAACTTTTTCCATATTCACAGTGAACTACTGATACCCAATGTCTCTGTAGGATTTCCTCACTAATTTTTATTTTCCTGCTGAAGAATRATAGAAACTTTTAAAAGAGAAGCTTCTTATTAATGATAAAGTGAGGTGGATTTTCACTGCCCAGGRTAAAGCTTCACTGACTCTGTGGGGTCTGTCTGTTGCAACTATTTTCTTTCCAYAGAGAGAGAGCGAGGTAAAAAATAAAGAAGCTGAGAGAGAAAGCATAGGATTTGCTTTTAGAGACCACTGAGATAAAAACACAGCAGATGTATTTCTTGCATTTGTATTTCGAATGGTGAAAAATWGATTCAAGGATGAGTTCTGATTGCAGAAAATATGTAAGAGCKGATGTTGGGCTGGCTTTGCATAATATTTTATCAGTATTAATAGTGTTATAAGTAAAATTTTAAACATGCTATTTTTGCATTAGAACAGAGATACAGCTTTTTTGGGTTTTTTTGGGTATTTTGTTTTGTTTTTTTGTTCAGTCATTTATAATTTGGCAATTAGTGAGCTGAATTAGTCAGATGCCCACTTTATACAGGTATATCTACAGGAATAGATGAGACATCTGGTCCCAGTTCTTTTCAGTTCACTCATCCAATAGTGTATTTTTCATTACCTGGGAAAGGGAGCTGTCTATATATGCTTAGGACTGATTGCTTGGGAGTATAAAGTTAAACATGGACTTGTAAAGATTGTTGTTTGCCTTGGAAGAAAATCAATAAATTTTCTGGGTAATTTTTGTGTAATCAAATTTAAAGTTCTTTGACTTTCAGCCTSGTCCCTCTCCTGAAGGCTGGATATAACCTGATGTTCATTAATCTTCAAAGCTAAATATTTGAGGTGTCAGTGATGTAGACTTCAGTCATGTTATTTGGATGCAGGCCATTAGTAGCTGCCAGTAAAGAAAAGAAAATAATAACTGAGTAGGCTGCTCAGACACAAATGGAAAGTTCTGCTTGGAGCAAACATGATTTTAGTTACATCTCTTCACAGTTTGAGGTTTTTAACCTCTTCTCCAAAATAGTTTGCCTAAAATAAGCTCTAAAGCATTCATTAATTATTGTAGAAGTGTTCAGATTATGATACTGTTCAATTAGCTGTTTTCATTCCCTAGTTTGTCTTTCTTCRGAGGGATGATAATAAGTAGTTTTATTACTTTAGTTATTCATTATTTATCTTCAGTTACTCATTTATTACTTCTTTTTTCATATAACTCTTTAATGTGCTGATGTCACGTTATAGACACTTACAATGCAGTGACATAACAYATTTTTCTCACATTAAATCCAGAATAACTTGTTGTCCACGTAAGCACAGGCTCTGTGATAGAATCTCTCTTAAGAAACAGAGTTTTTAAAAAATATTTTGCTTCCTGTGCTTTAAATGCTTTTTCAAAAAATAGTATCAGTTATTATGTGTGCAATTTTCTGCATATCAAAGAGTAAAATTATAATCATAGTTTATGATAGATTACATTATTATTACCTTTCTGCTGTAGTTAATTGTGAACTTGAGGTTTATACTGTAGTATCATGTAGAAGAAACATGTCTGAGTGCACTGACAAACATGTTGTCTAGTATTAGTTTGTATAGGTTCTTACATCACTGCAATATTTGAGTGCTTTCTGTTTTGTACTAAATGCTTACCAGCAATCATGCATGAWGTGATGTACCCCTTAAATACATGCATCCCAAAGTTTAAGGTAGCTTAGATCAATAAAAAGAGCAGCCTGGGGTAAAYAAGGAATTTGTACTTGGAAGAGATATTTACTTCAAATATGTTATAACAAAAATAAATAAATTTGTGTATTATTCAAAAGCATAGCAAAACCAGATATCTGAAATTAGGGTACCTGTCAGTTCCAGTGCTTGGAAACATTCTGAATGCATTTAAATAACTGTTTGAGAAAGTATTGCAGTAAAGTCCAGTGAATAAAACTTCCATAATGAATTGCAAAAGTCTATCAGTGCCTCGCCAGAAACTGGGTATGAAAGCTGTAAGATGTCTGGAAATGATGCCATTAGTCTCAATGCAGTGTTGACTTTGAATTATATTTTATTTTATAATTATTTTGTAATCTAATTTATATTCTGCTAGCACACATGGATCAACTAAAGTGGAGGTTATTCTTTATCTGAAATCTTTACAGGCTGAGAAGATTGAAGGCAGGAAGAACTAGTGAGAGAAAGGGACCGAATGCAGAGCAAATGGCAATGTTGGGTATCTCAGTGCTGATTCCCACAAAATACAGCCAATCCAGACACCCAATTTTGTCCATCTTTGTTTTTTAGATTGCAAGTCTTAGGAGACCTTGAATTCCTTAAGGAATTCCTTTAGTCATCTCTAAAATAAGCTTAGACATTTCAAAATCTGCCATATTCTGCAAATTGAAGGAGAGTTTATAAGTGTTCAGTCCTAATCCAACTCTGCCTTGATWATAAGCAATATTAAACTCTGATTGCTTTTCAAAATATTATGCCAGAGCTGATCAATTCTGATCCCTCTTGCACCTACCCCAAAAATATTAATAAATTTCCCCTGATTTATTTGAAAAGGTATCATTGTTTTATCTCTGATCATGGATAAAATATGGTCTATTTCACGTGCTGTAATTTGACAGAAACTTTTCTGGTTAAAAGACCTATCAAACCCAAGGGACTTGTAAATTTAATTAATTTGTTGGGGRAAAAAGACACCAAAGGGTCCATGCAGACTTTGCCTATCACTTTGCAATCATATTGAAATTCAAATTTTTAATCAATGCATTGCAGAAGTCGATAGAAAAATTCTGATTGTGTTTAATGGGCATTTCACAGAATGGTTGGATTGGAAGGAACCTCTGATGATCATCTAGTCCAATGGCCCTGCTAAAGCACATACACCTAAAACAGGTTGCCCAGGATAGCTTTGATTTAAGAAGTTTGAGTATTAAGTACTAGATATATTGGGTGAACAACAACTTAAAGATGGTTTATAACATCTTTTGGGTTTGGAACATAAAAATTCTAAACTGTTTATTTTCTTGTTCTTAGTCAAGAAATAGTTTCCATTCTTACTAAGAATTGTTGATTTTGTATTTGGAATTGTTTATGGCAAGTGTTTTTTAATTGAAAACTGTAATGTATAAATAATTGAGAGAAACTCAGCATAAATTCATGAGTATCTGTGCAGAGGAAATATGCACATTTAAGCAGAATTTCCCCAATTGGTTTGCCTTCAGGCAGAAATAATTTATATTCAGATRTAAAAAAGAGAATGTTAATATTGCAAAATGAAGTACTAAAAAGGTTTAAAAAGSCAAAAGTTAAAAATTGCTTATGAAATTTCATATGCTTTTGTG